TAACAGGTTTTTTATCTTCCCGCCATATTTCTAAGACTGGCGAATCCGTCGCCGGTCATTTCAAACCGGCGAGATCGGCGTACGCCGGCGAACCTTCCCCGGTCAAATGAGGTAACAAGCCGGGTTATCAAAGGTCAAGCGGAGCATTCGGCGTACGCCGATTTGACAAATGAAGTCCCATCTCTGCGTCTGAAAATTTAGGTAGGCCTATATGTTGGAAAATCATTCGTTCAACTTCTCAGGTAAAATTCATCATTGAAAGATAGATATTAAATGATAAAAAATAAATCTTATATTTTTTTTCTTTGGTCGATATATCAAAGAAAACTTGGACGGAAAATTTCATCAATGCGCGTAGTTCTATACATTCAGCCATTTTGAATTTCAGAAACGTTGTTGTGATGTATACCTACGCACAGTCTTTGATGCGTAAATCAAATATTAAAGTGAAAGAAAGTTTCATTTTATTGTTATTAAATCATACTTAAATGATAAGAAATGAAAGTAATATTTTTTTCTTTGACCGAATTATCAAAGAAAAATTTGGACGGAAAACGTTTTTGACGTTTTGTTTCTCTAGACTATTCTACTCTTCTAATTCTTCTAAAAGATGAGCCAGCAAAAATATTCTCATGTTTTTTCCCCTGAGTCGGGAGAGGGCAAACACCCTTAAGGTTTTCCATCCTCTATCCTTAAATGTCCATCACATACATAATACCCTGATATTAATTTAAAGCATTATACAGTAGGAAAAGATTTACCAAGAGAAAGTTTCAAAAATGTAACTAACTAAGCAGTAATTAATTAACAAAGACTGCATTGAAGTCTATATGGACAAGCAATTTTTTTAAAAAAAATTAAATAAGACTGTGGTGGAAAGATGCATTAAGGTTTTCCATTCCTAATAGGACCAAATTCTCTATCCTGCAATGTCCATCACTTACATAATACTCTGATATTAATTTAAAGCATTTCACAGAAGAAAATGATTTACCAAGAGAAAGTTTCAAAAAAAGAACATCAATAAACACTGTGGTGGAAAGATGCATTAAAACATCAGAAATAGAATGACAATGGAAAACAATTTTTTACCAGATAAGTTTCTTTTTGTTTTTTTAATTGATTTTTTTATTAATTTAAAACAGAGGGAGATAATTCTTACCAAAATTCAAGGTCATAAATTAGGACACAGCTCACCCTTACATGCTAATACGTAATAAATGGAAATTATGTCTAAATAAACTGAGTATTCAACCCCTACACATCTGTTATGTATTCAGTTTCATTGAATCTGCTGCTATTAGGGATGGGATACCTTAAAACACATTAGAAATAGAGTGACAGTTGAAAATATTTTTAACCAGGTAAGTTTTTTAAATTGATTTTTGTTGAAAACTCTTACCAAACTCAAGGTCAAAAATTAGGACACATCCCATCCTGACATGCTTATAGTAATAAATGGGAATTATGTCTAAATATTTACATTTCCAAAAAATTTCCCCTATAATTCTTTACAAAATAGAATACAGTTCATTTTCTTATGAACTACCATGAATGGGCATGAATATCTCCATTGTTACGTCATAATACCTTATTTGACATCAAAACTATAGTGCAAACTGTTTTGCTTTAAAAATGACAATTGAATGGCGTTATTAGTGGCAAATCATAAAAAAATAATGTAAATATAAGGAATGAATTTAACTTTTGAAAATTCATGAGGTACATGAACTACAACGCTTCACGCCGCCATTTTTATCATGAAGCGTTAACGCGCTTCATGAAATATGCCGGCGTGAAGCGTCGTAGTTCATGTCATCATGAATCTTCAAAAATTAAATTCATTTCTTAAATATACTGAGTATTCAACACCTTTACATCTGTTACATATTCAATTTCATAGAATCTTTTGCTATTAGGGATGGAATACCTTATCTTCTTTATTGCTGATTCAACGTCCATCTTCTTCAGCCAGTTTCTGAATGCCTGACATTCCCAAAGATTTGCCATATATACCCTTTGGCTAGTCCATTCCAAGAGTTTTCATGTCATGAGTTTTCACTAATCGAAGTCTTCAATGCGTTTTACTCAAATGCCCCTTAACCATTACACTTATATATTCCTATGTAAACATTGATCCACTTTTAGGGTCCCGCCCTACCCCAAGGATCATGATTGGAACTAACTTGAATCTACACTACCTGAGGATACTTCTATTATAATATGATTAATCATGGCTTTGCTGCTCTCGAAAAGGAGATTTTTAAAGACATTTCCTATATATTCCTATGTAAAACTTTGACCTCCTCCTGTGGCCCCACCATACCCCCCCCCCACCCCCGGGGGGGGGGGGGGGTGTCATGATATGAACAAACTTAAATCTAAAGTATGTATTAAAGTTTTCATAAAAGTTTCATCTTCTCTTGCCTAGTGGTTCTTCAGAAGATTTTTAAAGGTGCCACCAAATTTTCACGAATTCTTAATTATCTCACCTTGAAAGAGGGTGTAGCACTTTCTGAGCACAAACTTTAATTCCCTTTATCCAAGGATGCTATGTGGCAAGTTTGGTTGAAATTGGCCCAGTGGTTCTTGCTAAGAAGTCGAAAATATATTACAGACGACAGACGGACGCCGGACACTCTTTGATCAGAAAAGATTACTTGAGCCTTCTGCTCAGGTGAGCTAAAATATGTTCGAAAGACACTCAAAAAGAATTTAAGATCTAGAATACAACATGTACATGTCAATACACCCTCCTTCGATCAATACATTTTTATGAATTGTGTGTTTATGTGTTGCACCGTTACAAAAACATTAGCTTAATAACAAATCACAAAACACAAATCTCTAACTGGGATTTCCGCTTTCTTAATTTTTCTTTTCTTTTAAATATACATATAGAAATTTTGAATAGAATAAAATGTCGTTTATAGAATTAAAAAAAAAGATCAATTAGAACTTTCAATGAGATATTTACCATTGGCCAACACTCCCGTTTATCAAAGACCTAGCCATATTCATTTGTTAGGATTGTATCAGAACTGTTCGACAACAGAAAGCGGTAATCCAAGTTAGAGCGTCGTGGTTTTAATCAAATAATTACATAGGATAATCATCACTTTTTTATTTATATGTATTTACTTATTTTTTTTTTTTTATCTTTTTGTACTTATATAATTTTTTTCTTGTTTCTAGTGGTTTAATTAATTTTTATTTTTCTGAAAATATTTTTATGAATATTGGTATACATCCGAACTGCTTTGCTTATAAGAGTTAATGGCTGCATTAGAAGTATTAGCTTAATATAGATTGTGCTACATGTAAATGGGATACAAATACATGTATAGGTATGGCAACTAGGGAATACATTGCATATAACTTCAGATTATATTATTTTAAGCAGATATATAATGCATTTTTTTTTTTTTACAATTTCATATATTTATTTTACTACAATCTCTGATTCATAAAACTACATGTATATATCATTGGGTTTGTTTTTTTTTTTTTTTTAAATATTTATGTTTTGTCAATTGAATTGTTCTTTGTGTCCATTATTTGTTAAAAATTAGAACGAGCACAAAACGTATCTATTCCAGAAAGATGTCATATACATAGAAAGGATTGAATCGTAAATGCCGTCATATGTACATCGTATAGTAAGAGGGAATATTAATATGAAGTTGGACTTCCTTGCATAGACTACTATCGTAAGCGGCAATTTTCAGAATATTTTCAAAAAGGTTGACGACTGCTGCAACTTGGAATGTTCTGGTCGAAAAAAAAATGGTAATACTATTTGAAAGCCTCAGTTAATAAATTTGAGACATACAAGTAAAAGTTTTAAGCAGATGGTATCCATTTTAATGAAGAGGTTACTTTCTTTTTCTAATTTTTGAGTTCTACAGTATTTTCTAAATGATTAAACTCCTCCACATGCTTTTACAGTCCTCCTCAATTTTTTTTTAAATGTTGAATGGTGATGGTTTTAATTATTTTGGCACAACTCCATGTGTTCTACTTTCAGAATTACAATTTCTTTTAATGCATTTTTTATTTTCTTTTGATAAATTAGCACGCTTGTAACAAGTATGTTAATTCTATATGTTTTAAAAAAAATTGTCCTTTAAACGATCGCAAAGCATTTAAAAACTGTGTCTTCTTCTTTCATGTTACATTGTAAGTGTAAGTGCTAGTAAAAGTTCTTAAAATTACGAAAAATAAAAAAGAACGATTATCAAATTTTTACATTTTAAATCATGTAAACTTTGTGATTAGTCTTTCCATATCTTGCATGCTTGTCTGTTCATCAGTCTATATTTCTCTATCACTTAGTCCTACCCATGCAATAACTTGTGAACATTGATCCGAATCATTCAAATAATTTGTATACGGTAGGTATTGATTCTATGTTATATGTATAATATCTCAAGGTAAGTGTCATCGGCAATGTAAAAATTGGTAAATGAGTGGAGAAATGGTGTCTATATGCTATATTTTAAAACCTATATAGATAAAATAACAAATACATGTATATAATTATAGATTGCTTCTAGTTAATAACATTCCCTTTTGTACATTTTCTCCAAAATCTGTACAATACGAAGAACATTTCCCTCCATATTGAATGAGAAACCATACGGGGTTATGAAAGAAGCAATATGATGTTATCTCAATAGATCTAAGTACTACGCGTCTTGTTAATTTAATGTTGTTTTTTTTTTTCATACAGTGTCGTGCCGTTAAGTATTCGAAGAGAAATCTTTCACAACTAAGATATATGAAATTCTTTTACTGTTTGTTAAGTACAGATATAGAATATATTCTATCTAGCTATATTCGTTACATGTGTACATGTAAGTTATAAAATTTATTCTGAAAAAGCTAAATTTCTACGTCATTTGTTGAATGGAAAGGTAGTCTTATGTTGATTTAGAAAACAGGGTCTTTACCTGTATATTTGTCATACAAATGGAAGAGATTTAATCATATTAATCAGATTAATTACCATCCCTTTCACACATAAAGCCATTCTTGTGGTTACACGGCCTATCGTTAAACTCTCCAAAATAAAACATGTCTACACAATCTTTATCCGGATATACTGCATCAGGGTTTCCTCTGGACCACTTTAGATTCTTGATCGGAGAACGGGAATATTCCCAAATGTAGCTGCCTTCTCTCTCTTTATCATTTCCTCCGGTCCACGTGGTACACTCATACATGTTCACACATGCTTATGGAATAAAATAAAAAAAAAATTTAACCTATAATCTGTATATTACATTTAACATAACAAATAATATCATTCTTTGAGAAAACAAGATGTGTTTCTGAAACACCGATGCCCCCGTCTGACACCTTTGGCGTGAACTTAAATATATATCAAATACAAGTCAAACTTCAAGGTTAATCTAGATGTCAAAAATATTGGTATACAAATAAAGGTCCATTCACAAGGTTTAACTTTGTAAAATATAAAAGCCATAACACCAACTGTTTAAAGGTTATGACCAAGGATTATTTTTTTCGCAAGTAGGTCAAACTCCAGGGTCAAGAGGTCACAAATCTTATTACCCCAAAACGACATCTTGTCACAGAAATATGCATGTGAAAAATGAAAGCATTATCACCAAACATCCAAATATTATGGCCAAGGTTAAAGTTTTTTTAAAAGCATTCAAAGCTCCAAGGTCAAGATATGTTGGCACCTAAGGAAAGGTCTTGTCACAAGGAATATACGTGTAAAATATCAAAGCCTGGGAAACAGCCGTTCAAAATTTATGGCCAGAGTTAATGTTTTTCAAAACTAGGTCAACTCCAAGGTCGAGAGGTCCCGAAGTTTTGTATCCAAGGAAAAGTTTTGTCAAAAGGGATACATATTTGATGTATGAAAGCCATGGCACCATCTATTCAAAATTTACGTTCCAATTTAAAGGTTTGCAAAATTTTGTAAAAGTGGGTCAAACTCCAAGGTCAAAAGATAAAGAATAAAGAAAGGTTTTGTCAAAAGGAATAAACTTGGAAAATATGAAAGCCCTAGCATTAATTCAACAGTCAGCGAAAGTTTGATAAAGTACTTTATTTAAATGAATTATATATATATATATATATATATATATATATATATATATATATATATATATATATATATATATATATATATATATATATATATATATATATGTGTGTGTGTGTGTGTGTGTCTTAAGGACATACAAACATTCTTAAGCACATTCTCAGTTAACCAGTCGCTTTCCTCCGTATCGTTAATCTCTACGAGGTAGGAATCGCAGATCCGACAGGACTTCTGTAATAAATCAACAACATATATTGTAAATTATTTTTTATGTAAATTTAATGTGTACTGTTATTGATAATTCAATTTTTAGGCTTTTTTTTAATAAGGAATACATATTCAGTTGTTTCATTTGTTTACCTTAAGACAACAAAATCAACTACTCAAATAATGTTAAAACACGATAGAATAATCGAGGTTTTTCTGTAAGAATCAATACAAATTTACGAATTTCTGCAGAAAAACCTAGTATGATACATGCAATTCATTATTTTTAACTGTACATGTTCAATTGCTTTTTATAATTCGTACCATAAAATAATACATAACTTTGTAAAAAAAAAAATACAACCATATAATAATTCAAACAGTTAAAAAGATGAAAATATAATACTTTATTCTTAACTTCTTTTGCAAAAAAATTACAGAAAAAAGAAATGCTAACCATTGCTGCTTCTTGGGTCATTAGAGGGGTGCTAATTCGACGGTAGCAGTTCCCTTTATCTTTACAAATCCATCCTGTGTTACAATCTACAGGACATCAAAAAGAAACTACTTATCATGTGTCCAAAACTACTTTTGAAATTGAGCAATATGCACGATTTGCGATCACTTATTTGGAATTTTTTCCTTTAAATTTGCCTTGAGTGATAAAAACTACCCCACATTCGAGGCCCTTTTGATTAATAATTTGTGCCTTTATTCTGATTTTTTCCCATCAATTATCTAAATAAAAATGACCGTGATAAGGCAAAGGAGTAACTTTTTTATGATAATTATATCTTACGACTACACGTTCATGTTTTCAAACACTGCTATATAAATTGATTTTTTAAGTAGTAGTCAGAATACGAAAATTTTTCATTGAATGTTTAATTTGATTGAAAAAGAAACTAATTACAAGAAAAAAGACAGTATACTTTCCAAAAGATCTTACGTGTAACTACATGTATATATTGATTGATTGATTGTATGTTGTTTAACGTCCCCTTCGAGATTTTTACACTCATATAGAGTGTATGTCGTATGTCGGTGAAGGGCTTCAAATTTTGACCTCTACTCGGCACTCAGGGCCATTGAGTAGTGAGGGTTCTTTATCGTGCCAACGCCTACCTGACAAGGGACCTACTTTTTTAAGGTCATATCCGAAAGACCCGTGACTTTTACTTCTAATGCCCAGCGTTTGGCGAAGGAACAGTCACTACCAATGTTTACGTCGCAGGTTTTACGCGGCGCAGCGAACAAGAATCGAACCCGGGCCTCCCAATAACGAAGCGAGCGCCCTACCTAAATGTATATAAGATATAATTAAGAAATAATTATTTCATCAGTCTTCATTATCTAAATCGTGGTTACAACAGCTATCCTTATCCAATAATTGGTCTCTAGTCTTTTTCATTTTGAATAAAAGTTAATGTTATAACGAAAATTACATTATTATCTGAAATATTATCATCAAATTCACTTGTAGAGCAATTACTTCTTATCTCGACTTGAAAAAAAAAAATATACTGATAAAAAAAAATTCACTCGCCTTGAAATTTTGTATGTATACCTCTCCGAAAAAGTAATTCAGGGTATATATTTAAGGAATCACTGTCTAGCTAGTAGAGTATGCCAGGGACATCAACGATAGTTGGAAACGTGGCGAAGCCCGTTATGCATAAATTATCCCACGTTTCCAACTAGACAATGTTTCATATTTCCATTTCATTGTGAAATAAAATTGTAAATTTAGATTTTAAAAATGTAGACTAATAGATTTAAATTACACAAGGCCTCACATGTCAATTTCAATAGTCCCCGTCCTCTGACGTCAAACACAAAGACAGCCGCACGAGATTTACATGCATATTGGGCCTTGTGACGGTACATATTGTCGTTTTGTACATATTGTCGTAGGCGACAATATGTACCTACCCTCACTGCACATATTGTCGTCCATCGGTGCATATTGTCGCCGACGACAATATGTACCGAGACGAGCCTTATTTTTCTCCTGCATAATGGACGACAAAATGTACAGTCAAGCACCAGCACATATTGTCGTCGGCGACAATATGTACAGTCAAGGTCGGTATATATTGTCGTCGATATATCATTTTGACGAATATTTACTTGAGAAAAGAAAGGGAAATTGACAAACATGCACACGCACGGAGGGAGACAGACAGCATTACTCGCAATACTGTAGGGAGAAAACTTTTTGGTCAGAAAATTGTGTCCAGGATTGATGTACATCACTATGACATATCAAGATACCGTAATTCTTGATATATCTGATAAATAAGCTATTCTTTTTTTCCTGTAATATTTACGTGGGGATTAAATACAGGTATTTTTTTGGTTCAGTAGTAATGATTATTTGGAAATTATTCTTATATACGATCATGTGCCGATATAATATCATAAATATAATTTATTGTTAATAATAATATAAGAATAACGCAAAAAATAACATTTTTATATCACCTGAACTGGAAATTCAAGTGAGCTTTACTGATTACATTTTGTCTGACCGTCCGTTTGTCTGTAAACTATTCATAATTTCAGCTTCTTTTCAAAAACTACTGGGTCAATTTCAACACATTTTTACCAAAAACAAACAAACAAAAACAAAATCAATTTTGTTCAAGTCATGACCCCAGGGATAATGTGGGACCACAATGGGTGATTAAAGTTTTACATAGGGATATATACAGAAAATCTTTAAAAATCTTCTCAAACACCAAAAACCCAGACAGATGTAGCACCCCCCCCCCTTGCTTGGTGGTTTGATTTTTTTTTTTTTTTTTTTTTTTTTTTTTTTTTTTTTTGTGCTTTGGTAAATTCTGTTTGTTTAACTTGTTTATACTTAGTCCACAGATAAAATTTCATAATTAAATAATTAACTTAACATATACAATAACACTGATGGACGACAATATGCGCAGTGAGGAAAGGTACACATTGTCGCCGGCGACAATATGAACAGGACGACAAAATGTACCGTCACAATCACGCTGCAAGAAATAGCATACAAGACACGTCAGTGTGATTCTCACACCAATTACATTCACAAAACTATCAAAAACAGCAAAAAACACCTTTAAACAACAATATCTGTGGGGCGACAATATGTACAGTGAGGGTGAGGCACATAATGTCGCCAGCGACAATATGTACATATGTAACTTTTCAATCGGCGACAATATGTACAAATGGACGACAATATGTGCAGTGAGGGTAGGTACATATTGTCGCCGACGACAATATGTACAAAACGACAAATTGTACCGTCACAGGCCTCCTTAGCGTCAGACACAAAGACAGCCGCACGAGATTTACATGCATCCCAGACTATTATTTGAAAGAGTAAACAGACCAAAAGACATGAAACATCAAAATCTCCTAAAAGGAATTTGATTAGTAATATGCTTACGGATTATCATGATTTCCATGGTAACAGGTCTTTACATCATGTCTAATTGCAATTATGATACGAATTATCTCTTAAATTGGGTTAAAATCTTTAGTGCACTGGATAATAGTGGATATTAGTGAGCTGAAAGTGATGAAGATTAGTTTTTAACAGAAAGCGGATGTTTGATTTTTAGTTTCGGGGAGAGAGAGAGAGAGATTATGTTCATATAATAATTTTTCAACCCACGACAATATGTTTCGATGGACGATAGCATGTGCGGTAATATTAGATAGAAAAGCTGTTAAGAAATAAATGTAACCGATTCTACATCGCAACTACTTTGTCTAGCAAATATAGCTGTCATTTGGATGTTTTGAAGATGCACATATTTTCACATAGAAACATTTTCCTTAATATTTCTGCTAAAAGTTACATGTGTATGTAATTTTAAACTATTTATAGGTCAAGTGAGTGATTTGGATGACGAAAATTTATATCGAGTAAATCTTTTTGTCATTGAATTTTATGTGTTGGACGAAATGTATAGCTGAAAAAGTTACACATAAAAAGAGAATTTAATTCACCGCAAAAAATAATTCCTACCGTGGCAAGTGATACTGACGTCACTCCAAGTTCCGTTCCATAAACATTCCACAATACCGTCTCCCGTTTGACCATATCCGTCTATACAAGATAATTTGTGTTTGCTCCCGAAATTTAAAGCCTTTTCTGAATTGAAGTTCTGCACATTCTTCGGAAGCAATAGATATGATGGATGGCATTCTGAGGAGAACAGTAAAGAAAAAAAATAATATATAAGTACAGCATTCTTATTAACAGAATACCATTAAGTAAAATTTATAACACATCAGCCAAAAACTTAACACATCATGTTTCAACATATTTAGGCATAGCATTTATTACAATTTTCTTGAATTTGGATTACTGTAAACATACTTTTTTCCACAGTGTCATAATTCTACGGAGTAATAATAATTTCTGTTTCATCCGATTTTGATCAATAAAATACAACTTCAATAAACATATGTGTTTTGTCCTTTTTTATACATGTAATGGTTAGGAAAAGAGGAGGTATAAATGGACTTTTAAATACGCTGGGATAAATTTTCGCGGAATTTGTGACCGCGAATTATTGAGAATAAATACCACGCGAAAAAACTATTCTACGGTATTACATATCGGTAAATATAATGATTTAGAAGGAATTGTATACCGTTCATGTAGATACAATCACAGAAAATAAGGGTACAAGGTAAGATACTTTGAATGAATTTTCAAATTATGAAAGAAAATGTGTTTTTTCTTGTAAGTTTCAAGGAACTTGTGTCGCCTTAATCAGCAGCATTGTGGAAATGTTGCTGATTTTTTTCCCTCAACCGACCTTTCACGTATAATTGCAGGTCAAAGGTTTTTGAAACTTGAGTTTATTAAATAAAAAGGAACATTAGCTAAAAGGCAATCGAAGTTAGAAAATTCATTATTCACTATTCAAATAGCAAATCGTATTCTGTGGTGGGTTCACTATTCAAATTACCGTAAGTGTTCTCATATTTTCTTTTACAGGAATCTAGATTGACTCAACTTAGCAAATGTAGGAGAACCAATTCAAAGACCCCACTTACAAAGATCAAAATTATGCTTGTTTTGTGTTTTGGTGTTTATATCGAATACGGGGTCAACATTGGTCGTTACCATACCTTGTCCTTTATAATTCTGAAAAGAATTTCTAAATTATGTACCGTTTTTCAATGAAAAAATTATTGTAAGCCGTAAATCTACTCTTATTATGGCGCATTACTTGGCTAGCACAATCAATTATCTTCTAGATCCTCGCTGGACTTTACGCGTGAATGAAGCAAGACACGCACTCTATTTTCACACTTACCACACTTGCAAGAAATTAATGAATATTTAGTTTTTTACGAGGGATGTCAAAATATTTATTTTCATTGGTCGATTATTCGATTGCGTTAGTCGAACGATTAGTCGAATATTCGGAACATTTTCTGAAAGAAAAAAATTATTTCAAACTTCACATGGTACATTTTATTTAAATCTATTTATTGCTCTGGCTATCAAAATGTCCTTAAACAGTTTAAAATGTAAG